GTATTTACATAAGGCGATAGCAGCGCCACTCTTTTGAACAAAGTTTCTCAATGCAGCTTGCTTTTATTTCTAAAATGCTCAGAATTCAAGAATTTTGAACTAATTTTAGCCGATAATTTCTGGAAATCAGTGTAGTTTTAATTGAAACCGAAGAAAGTAAACAATAGAAAGCTTAAAATAAATTTATCATGGGAAAACTGACCTAATGATAATAAGATTAAATGGATGGCAAGATAAAAGTGCCCTCTCAAGAACGTGTGAGACATGCTCTATTAGGGTTAAGTTCAGGTGATGTAGCTGGCCCATCCATACGGCGAATATCCTCAATTCACAGATATCAACTAGCTGAAACTTACTTGGACGAGCCTAATATGATCCCAAGACCGCTTGCGGCCTTGAAAAGCGCAATAAGGGCTCTAAGATCTCATCTCTGTGCATGAAAGCAATCAAGGGAATATCGTCGTCCATCATAATGCCTGCCCTAACCACTGCCCTTCCACCACTGTAATGCTCCTGTCGACACCTCCATAGTATAAAATAGAGTGCTTCCAATTTAAATTCCAAGCATCTGCGCATGCCCAGTCACTTTAATGACTCTAACTTCTTTTTGAATTATTGCTATGTTGTTTTTCCGTTAAGTGTCTGTATTGAATCTGAGTGTGTGTTAAAATGATTAATAAATGGTGTGTGTAAACTTTAATAGCTTTCTGGATTTAAGAAGACAGCCTTCCCTGCGTCAACATCTATTCACGAGCAAAGAGACAAGGTAAGAAAATTAAGATTATTTCATTTGTTTCAACTGTTTAATTAGAATTTAGATTGCTCGTGAAATCTTGGCGCCCGAACAGAGACGCTGGTTTTTTAGTAAAAGGCTGTTTTTAATGAAGAGAAATTGATAATAATGGATGCATTATTAAAAGTGACAACACCACTCAGAAAAAATTTTACCAAAGTCTCTAATAGGCTAGATGAAGCTCTAAAAGCTAAAGCGATAGATTCAGAAGAAATTGATGTAGCGTTTTCGCTATTAAGCGATAGGTTTACAAAATTAAAAGCTATTGATCAAGATATTTTAGATGTTTTATCAAAGTATCCGAGCACGGATCAAAATATGTTTGATCAAGAATATGAAAGGATAAATTCTTATTCTGACACATACATCTTTGAAAACGAAAGTGGAACGATTTCGAAATGAACTGTGTGATAATGTATCTAGTAATGATTCTTCTGTTGAAGTGATAAATAAAAGAAGTGTTAAATTACCTAAAATCGAGTTACAAAAATATGATGGTTCAATTAAAGGGTGGCTTGAGTTTTGGAGTTTGTTTAAGAAAATTCATGATGACCCATGTTTATCGAATGAAGACAAGTTTATATATCTCATTCAAAGTACCACAGAGAAGTCGCGAGCTCGTGACCTTGTGGAAAGTTTTCTACCTACGTCAGATAATTAATTACCCGTTGGGTGACTGAATGTATGAAGTCTCGTTTTGGTAAGGACGAATTACTAACTGAAGTGTATGTGCGTGAATTATTGATTTTAGTATTAAGCCATAATAAATGTCATTTAGCGAAGCACTATGATAAGATCGAAGCATATTTAAGAGACTTAGGTACCTTAGATGTTACCTCCGATAAATATGCAGCTATGCTCTATCCTCTGGTCGAGAGTTGTTTATCAGATTATGTTTTTAAAATATGGGAACGGCATATCAGTTCTCTTTTAGTTAATGAAAAGGGGAAAGGGGAAGTAAATAAATTAGCTATTCTAATAGAATTTTTAAAATCAGAAATGGATGGGGAACAAAGACTTGCAAATTGATAGAAATTCATTTGATAATGAAAGGGAACCTTTAAAAAGATCATCTAAGCAGAATCTTAACGAAAATAAATGTGATATTCCGATCACTGCTAGTCTTTTAAATACGAATGGTTATAACGAAAAGAACTGTATTTTTTTGTGAGAAAAAACACAATTCTCAAGATTGCAATAAAGCGAAAAAAATGAGTCTGGATGAAAAAAGGGATATAGCTAAAGAGGGCTGGTTGTTGCTTTTCCTGCATTAAGAGGGAACATGTTTCGAAGCAGTGCTATAGTAGAATAAAATGCTTTATATGCAGTAATTTTCATTGTACTGTTATGTGTCCAAATCCTTTATTTGAATCGAAAGCAGATGTTAAAAAATCGGTTGAAAATCCGAACTGTACCCAGCTCAAGGATCCAGCCCTTACAAGTCAGTCTAACTCAACAGGGGTACTGTTACAAACATTGCAAGTTTATCTTAGGGGTAAAAATGATAGACACATAGTAAGAGCCCTTTATGATACAGGAAGTCAACTTTCTTATATTAGTACCAAAGCAGTTGAGCTATTTAACTATGAGTGTTTAGGAGAGATATCAATAGTTCACAGTTTATTTCGTGGTCTTGAATCTCCTCAACAGAAGCATTGCCGTTTTAGAGTGTATTTGACTAGTTTCGATGAGAATTACAGTTGTAAGTTTGAAGTACTAGAACACGAAAAGATTTGCGTTAATGTATTGAAAACCCAGCAAGGCCCATGGATGGCAGATCTTCGCAAGAGGAAGATAACTTTGACTGATAGTACCAGCAACACTTTACAAGAAATTGATTCTGAGATTCATCTACTTATCGGAGCAGATGTGGCTGGTAAACTTTTAAATGGGAAAGTACAAGTTTTAGCTAATGGTCCCGTTGCAGTTAGTACTCATTTAGGCTGGTACTCATGGGAAAGATTCCATAGGTATCCAAAGTATCTGAATCTTATTTGTCTATCATATCTCTACTCACCCACAACTTTAACCTTCCAGACATGTGGAGTTTAGAGCGTATAGGTATTGCAGATCCAGTTGAAAGCCAAACTGCTGCGGAATTGCAACAATTGCGACAAGCTGCACTTGGACATTTTCAGTGTAGTCTAAAAGTTAATGAGAGGACGGAAGGTACGAAATAACGTTACCATGGCTCAAATTGCATCCCACACTTCCTGAGGGTAAAGACGTAGCCGAAAGAAGATTACGCACTGCAGTTAAGAGACTCAAAACAGCTAACATTTTAGAAGCCTATCAAGAGGTCTTACAAACGTGGTTAAAGGATGGAATAATTGAAGAACTCAAAGAAGATGAGAAAATGACTCTTGGCCATTTTTTGCCTCATCGAGAGGTAGTTATGAATTCAGCAACAATGAAAATTAGGCCTGTGTTTGATGCCTTTGCACATACTAAAAACTCGGCATCTCTGAATGAATGTTTAGCGAAGGGTTCGAATCTCACGGAACTTATTCCAGTGATATTAATTCGTTTCCACATGAAAGAATTTGCTGTTACATCGGATATAAAACAAACCTTCTTGCAAATTTGTATCTGTAAAAATGATAGGAACTATCTTAAATTTCTCTGGATGGAAGACAGGGATCCAAATAAATTCAAAATCTACAGACACTGTCGTCTCGTTTTTGGACTTACGTCCAGTCCCTTTTCGTTGAATGCCTCGTTAAAATACCATTTAGAAAATGCTCCTTCTCAGTTTAAAGATACAGCTTTGATTTTACTAGACTCCTTTTATGTCGATAATTGTCTTGCTAGTTTTGGCAGTGTTAAAGAGTCAAAACTATTCGTTGAACAGTCAATAGAATTGTTACTCTAGGGTAAATTTAAGTTAAGAGGATGGCGAAACAATTACTCCATGTTAGAGAATGTTAAGTTTTCAAATGAGAATGCTAATGGACTCGAGGATCCAAATGAAGAAAATTTAGTATCGGTTTTAGGATTAAAGTAGGATCTGACATCTGATACATTATTTTGCAATTCCACTTACCATCAAACTGCAGATCCTCCCGTTACAAAAAGGAAGATTTTAGCCGTAGCGCAACAAATATATGATACTTTGGGAATTGCATGCCCATTTACACTGTTGCCAAAATTGCTACTTCAAGAATGTTGGAAACAGAAAATAGCATGGGACGCAGAATTACCTGAAGCTATCACGAAGAAATTTTTAAACTGGCAAAATCAAATAACACAGCTGAAAAATATCTTTATTACTAGATGGATGACGAAGAGAACCTCTTCGGAGAAGCAGTGTAGTTTACACGTGTTTGCTGATGCAAGCAAGAATGCTTATGCAGCTTGTATTTTTATCCGAATTGAAACCGAAGAGTCCGTATCTTGCGAATTCGTTAGAGCTAAAAATAGGATGACTCCACTAAAGACAATCACAATTCCTAGACTGGAACTCCTAACATGTTTGATTGCTGCTCGTTTAGCTGTTAACGTGAAGACAGATTTAAAAAGACCAGATATTGAAACACATTACTGGACGGATTCTAGGAATGCCTTAAGTTGGATCAAACGAGATGAGCATTGGACAACTTTTGTCGCCAATAGGACACAGGAAATAAGAGATAAGAGATCTGTCTCACCCTGATGACTGGCATCAAGTTCCGGGAAGTGTTAATCCAGCAGATGTTCCGTCTAGAGGAAGTTCTGTTAGATACCTTATTGAATCATGATGGTTACAAGAGCCAGAAGGGTTAAAATCTCCAGCAGAGGAATGGCCAAAATCTCAAATCGTAGCTGAGGAAGAAAGTTTAAATCAAGAGAGAAGGAAGACAGCCATGATCAATACTAAAAAGGAGATACCTTGGTACCACAATAGGTTTTCTTCCTACTCGAAGATAGTTAGAACGTTTGCCTGGATCATAGCAAATGCCAAGAATGCCAAGAAGTTAGAAACGGTTCTATCAAGAATTGACTGTCAAGGAAATAGAACAAGCTGAACTGATATTACTAAAAGGCATACAGCAAAAAGCTTTCGGCTCAATAACTAATCCCGTTTTGAAATATCTATATCCTCAACTTGATGAAGATGGTTTAATTCCGTGTTACTACACGTCTCATACAACGTGATGACACTCCAGTTGTTCATTTGCTTATCTTGGAACATCATAGAAGATTGAGTCATGCTGGAGTACAAACGTTAATGGCTCAACTGAGGGAAAACATTCTGAATATTATTGAGTCATGCTGGAGTACAAACCCGTTCGTGAAGTTTCAAGGTATTGCAGAAAACTTCTGGATATTGAGATGTAGAAAAACTGTTCGTGAAGTTTTGAGATATTGCAAGAACTGTAGAAGGTTTGAAGTTTCCATTGCTGAGGTTATGCCGGCCCCTTTGCCAGAAAATCGTGTAAAGAATGCAGCTGCGTTTGAAATAACAGGAATTGATTTAGGAGGGCCATTATACTTAAGAAATGGAGATAAAGCTTGGTTCGTTCTCTTCACAGGCGCTGTGATTCGAGCAGTGCATATAGAATTAGTGCAATCACTGAGCACCGAAACCTTTTGTTTAGCATTTCGAAGATTCGTATCGAGAAGAGGAAGACCCTTGTATGTGTATTCTGATAACGCTACAAATATTGTAGAAACTAATAATATTTTACATCAAATTGAATGGCAAAAGGTACAGGAATTGGCTTCAGTTAAGCGGATTCAGTGGATTTTCATCCCTCCTACCGCCGCTTGGTGGGGCGGATGATGGGAGCGACTAATTGGAATGACTAAAAGAATCTTAAGAAGAAATCTAGGACGAGCTCGACTACATTATGATGAACTGGCTACTATTTTATGTGAAGCAGAATATATAATCAATAGCCGTCCCTTGACTTATCTGTCAGAGGATGTTGAAGACTTACAACCTTAAACCCCATCTTTATTTTTACAAGAAATACGTACTGAATCTCTCCCTGAATTAGATGTTTTCGATTCGAATAATTTAATAAAACGTTTTCGTTATCGTCAGAAACTTAAACAGGACCTGATGAAAAGATTTCGGATAGAATACCTGGGTCAGTTGAAATCTTACTCCAAGTGCAAACACCCAACCACCCTTAGAGTAGGTCGTTCTCATTGGAAGTAACAACAGCAAACGAATAGACTGGCCGATGGGCAGAATACTTGAACTTTATCCTGGACAAGACCAAAATACTCGTGTTGCTTGCATAAAAATATGAACGAACTATTAAGACCCTACCAAAGACTTTATCCTCTTGAAGTTGAAGACAGTCCAGAATGTTCCGGGGTAAAAACTAGATATGGTCGTATAGTAAAACCAACTCAGAGACTGAATTTGTAACTTATTGAGACTTTGGTTGCATTCCTACACCAGAATGCAAGGTGGGAGGAAATGTCGCAACCCCCACAATATAGAATTGAGTGCTTCCAATTTAAACTCCGGCCATCTGCGCATGCCCAGTAACTTTGAGGACTCTAACTTCTTTTTGAATTATGGCTATATTGTTTTTCGGTTAAGTGTCTCCTGTATTGAATCTGAGTGTGTTTTAAAATGATTAATAAATGGTGTGTGTAAACTTTTAGTATCTTTTTGGATTTAAGAAGACACCCTTCCAGCGTCAACATCTATCTACGAGCAAAGAGACAAGGTAAGAAGATTTAAGATTATTCCATTTGTTTCAACTGTTTAATTAGAATTTAGATTGCTCGTGAAAGATCCTTTTCTCTGATAAGGGAGGAATAGTATCGTGTCTCAGGCGTTCTGTAGATACAGGTATGCCGAGAATCAGTGTCCAGGCTGAACCTGGACTCAAATGTAAAAAGTACAGTGCTCCATTGAAGTCTGGTCCAAGGTGTCTGGTATCAACCAGCTGTAAAAGTACAGTGCTCCATTGAAGTCTGGTCTGGCTGCACCATGCTAAACACGCTGTCTTATATGCTGCAGTGGTCGGGACGCAAGTAGCTGGTCTTATGGCATACAGCCCTATTTCCCGAAGTCCCTAAGCAACTGTAGACCGTAAAACTCGGGTGCTAGTTGTAGCATACAGCTCACGTGAGAGTTGATGAGCTGTAGCAAACTGTGTCGCTGCCCAAATGTCAAATAATGATCCTCATTCGTCATTGTGGATCTTGGCCAACTTTGGCCTGGTTTTCCTCGATATTCATCCATTGTCCTGCAATTGTTTCCACAAACTGCAAACGACGCTGGGCGTTACATTGAGCTATGCAGCCATCTGCGCTTGTGATTGGCCTGCCTCCAAGCTACCGATAAATCTGTCTCTCATTCCGTCATCCATACGTTTATATGGCTGCTAATTTTACCTAACACCTTACAGAATTTACACAATTCTTGTGAGAAACATGGCGAATGTCAAGAAGGAGTGCGAGCATACAAATCGCTCGTGCTCTTATATGGGTGTCCACCGAAAACATCGTGGCAAAAACATCGCGGATGGAAACGTCGCGGAGAAAACAATGCAAGGCGAAAAGCGTCGTGGCACAAAACGTGGTGGGAGAAAATAAAGCAAAGAGAAAACATAGCAGTTCTAGAAACATCGCGGTACAAAATATCGCCGTCGAAAATAAAGCAGTTCAAAAACGTCGCAGTTTAAAACATCGTCGTCGAAAATATCGTGGTAAAAATAAAGTACCTACAAATCATTGCATGACGATAACGTCGCAGACATGCATTTTTCAGGCTTTAATATTTGTAAATGGATATTAGCATAATGGTCTGTGAGCGCGAGATGGAAAGAAGGATAATTTTTACTTTCATATTTTTTGTTAACTAATAAATATTTGCTGAAAATGTAAAATGGAAACTTCAGCATAGGAAATTAATGCAACTTATAGCACTTAATAGAATTTTAAACTGATATAGTTAATTAACAAAGGTCCTTAATAAACTATTTCTTACAAAGTTTTACTGGTGATTTTTCACGGAAAGTATAATCTAAAAAAGATTAGAGAAAGGAAGATAAGTAACTGCATGCCCTTATCTATAAAAAATTGCTAAGATAATTATGAGATTATTTTCTTCACTTTTGATAATCTGATACACTTATAGTGAAAATTATTTATCTTTTGTTTTTTATAAATTTATTGGTTGATAAAAGATATGAATGTAAAATTTATCCTTTTTTCCATCTTGCGCTCCATTTACAAATATTAAAGCCTGAAAAACGCAAATTTGCGATGTTATCGTCATGCGATGATTTGCAGGTATTTTATTTTTACCGTTATATTTTCGACGAAGATGCTTTTTAACTGCGAAGTTTTTGAACCGCTTCATTTTCGACGACGATATTTTGTACCACGACGTTTTAGAATTGCAATGTTTTCTGTTTGCTTTATTTTCTCTCACGATGTTTTGTGCCATGACGTTTTCGCCTTGCTTATTCACAAAGCCTACAGACCGTTTCTGCTGCTGTTTGCTCCGATTGGTTAAAACAGGAAACGTAGGGTTACAGAATCTAGTGCTCAGAGACTTTTGGTTCACCACTTTTACAATTTGTATTAGAGCGTCGTGAACCCAAAAAGTGTGCGTAATCCATAGGAGAAACCGCAGATCAGCGGTAACGAGTGCGGGGAAAAATTTTTAGGCTTCTAGGTCGCTTGTTTTATCCCTGCTCGTTAGCTTTCATGAACTCTGCTCTGCACGGATTTTTTTTTAAAATTTTAACTTTATTGAATGACTCATTTGTCATTATTTATCTTTTTGCCTTCAGGTGAGGTGTTAAAAATTAAACGCTTTTATTTTCTTAATTTTTGTTAATGTTAATTTTTCTTATTTTTATTTACTGGTTTGTACTCTTTGTAGTAGGTACCAGTAGCAAGATTACGATCCAAGATCCCGAAAAGCGTTTCAATAGAAATAGCGCATAATGGAATAAAATATAATTTTAATTATACTTACTCATAATTTAGGTAAAACGAATAGTTATCCGACGCCCTTAAATGTTTACTGAAAGTTTTCATTTGGTTAATTTTTTAATATTCTTTTATTTGTATAAATTAATGCGCTATGGAAATTTACCCAACAGACTCTTTCTAACAGAAATGACGAAAAAATGAATATGCTATCTCCTTTTTCCCCTTTTTCTTGTAAAACAATTATGTACTTTTAAAATTTTAAATTCAAATACAAATAAACTATTAATAAGATCAATAGGTTATTTAAAATATATTCCACACCATTCCTCAAATCTTTCATTCATAAACTGAAAAAATATCGAGTGAATCGAATGTTTGGCGTTAATTACCACGCCTACAGGGTGATAACTCACCATTCCAAATATGACCGCCAAGCATATGTTTCCTCCAATGAGAGCAGCCCGTAGAGAACTTGCGTTGTTTTCTCCGCGATGTTTTCGGCTGTAACCTTAGCGCAACTTTTAGTAAAAACAGGCATAATTTGCAAATTCACTTTTTTTTTTTTTTTTGGAACTGAATGTATTTTTCAAGTATTGTTTGTAACATATAGTTAAAATATAACATAACCTCGTTTTCTGAAACTAAAAATGTGAAAAAGTTGAAAGGATACTATTTTTTCTTAATATCACAGCTTTATTTTTGTGTAAATAGAAATAAATTGTTTATATGGATAAATAAAAATTATTTCATCGTTTAATTTTTGCAAAAATTTGTATTCCGTATAATATTTTTAAGAAACAAAATTATTTTATGTTTAATTCAACTGCATAATTTTTATTTGAATGCTTAGTTAAATAGAGTGTGATAAGGTCTCACATAAAAGAAGAAGAGACTGAAGATTAATATAGACAAGGATGTCTCGTGAGAATAAGCTGAAAATTATTATTTTTTTTAACTTACAAACACGTTTTCAATAGTGGTTAAAATAGTCTTTATTAAAATAATTAAATCGTTGGCAATGTTAAAAACGCAAGCTCGAGAGCCACGAATTGCTCTCACACGTAAAATGTATAGAATTTGATTTTTGAAAAAAGATAAGTTTGACTCTGGTTGTGAATTGTATGTAGCCATTTTTTTAGCATTCAATAAATTTCTTATGCTGTGTTTTGTTTTCAATCTGATGTCACAACCCAGGGTTTGCATAGCGGTTTCGGCCACTACACCACAGCAGTAAATATTAAAAGTTGGTGGCAGCTTTTAGGGATTGTTCCTGAGAGTAAATTTAGGAACGGACTTTTTCGCCTGTGAACATGAGTTTTATGTGAACAGTAAACTTTCTTCTCTTCAAGAACGATCTAATTTTGCGTGCAATGACAGTTCGCGTGGTGAAGCCTCTTCAGTGACAAGTGACAGTGTGTCAGAAGGGAACGCCGGAGGAAGCGTGATCTAGTGCCGCAAAATAGTGAAATTTTCCGGAAGAATATCCAAGTAGTGCCAGGAGAGTCAATCGAATGCGTCTTCAGAATTGGTGAGTACCATTTTTGTGATTTTGGAGAAGTTATGCCAGTTATTCGAGACTAGGTTTATTTTGGATATAGTTCTGTTTTTGGGGATCAAAAGTTTTCTGGTGATTATTGAAAGTTAAGCTTGTGGTTACTGTTGCTAATTGAAATTAAATTGTTTGTTCTATTGTTTTAGTAACTGTTTAAATTGTATGAAGTATTGTAACGGTATGCTTTAGAAAAATTTAGTTTTAAATCAGTCCAGAGTTAGAGGACAATATTTATATAGTTGATATAGAGCAGGAAAAGGTTGCCTCTTAATTAGCATTTTTTTATATACGCTTTGTATGTATAGGTATTATCATTAAGT